TTTAGAAAGAAAACTCTATACAGATTATTTCCTAGTACAAATGTAATATTATTTCAAATTGTCATATTGTTTTGAAGAGGAAATCGACTGAATGCTACAGCCAGTTTGATATTTAGATACAACTGGATAAAATATAAATGCAACTTCTTTAAACATAGCTGTTTTGTTTTATTCAAAATCACCACTCAAAAAGTGTTCTTCAAGGACCACCAGTCCTTCACCTTTCATTTGATACCTAAATTACCAAAATAAATTCTACATAGTTCGATATTTACACTTATGCGCAGGAACTATTTTGTTTTATATGTGTAGTAATTTCCTGTATGTTCATTTGGACCAGGCCCAAGTTGGTGGTGTTACATCTTACACTGTCTACCCGAATTGTTTGCCCTATACATGCGTTATTATCTGCCAAGTCTCCTAACATATATCTCGATGTGCCCGTGGTTGTCTAAATCTTTGTTTTGTTTTTGCTCGCCTCGATGTGATTGTCGGGATAAATTATGACAGTACATGTTTGATTTCTTTGCCAGAGTTTTTTTATTGATTATACTCCATGGCTTTGTTCTTCAATTCACAGTTGTGACGTGATCGTCAGTTTGCAAAGTATTCCGCTCAAACCGGTGATAGGGGCTGTAAACTTGCAGTGAGATGAGAGGTTTTTTTTGGCTCCGTGCTGAAGGTTTCACTGTGACTTTGAGATGATGAACATCAATAAAAGGGCTGTTCCTTTGCTTTTTTGCGTATTTTGCTGTGCACATACGGATTTTGTGTCTCTATTAGATTATATGTACTCAGTCTCTAAAGAAGACCTTTTGGATTATTTAGTATCCACATCTGATTCACGCCACCTCTAGAATATATAGTTTCACAATAACTTTGAAGCCTGGCTTTGATTGCTGATAAAATTGATGTTAATAACTTAAAAAGAGGTTTCGTTGAGCACTTGGAAGACACATCAATACAATGTTGTTTGTAAGGACACTTGTGTAATTTAGGTATCCAAAACCGTGTCTTCATCTTTGGTTGAAATTCCAATGGAAAATAGAACAGACCTATATAAAGATAAGAAGATGTGATATGATTGCCAATGAGAAAAGTATCCACTAAAGTTCAAATGAAGTGGATGTAAGCATTTATAGGCAACCGTACAGCCTTCAACAATGAAAAAACCTATACCGTAGAGTCGGATATGAAAGACCCCGACATGAAAAATTTTAAACGATTCAATTGAGAAAACTAACTACCTTATTTACAACAAAACACTTTACAAAAACAAATATGACAGACATGAACCAACGACAACCACTGAACTACATGCTCCTCATTTGGAACAGGCACATATATAATGTGGTGGTGTTAAACATGTTTGAAGGCGCGAACCCTCCCCTATCCTGGGACAGTGGTGTAACGACACAACACAAGAACAAACTATGCAAAACATTAAACGAAAACAAATATGATAAACCGCAATAACACGACAACCACTCAATTACAGTCTGACTGTTAATGTCGTCTTTACACTAAATACACTGATTGTTGGATGTGTATTGATTGATATTTTAGTCTTAGATGCATGATTTTTTTATTAGTTGTTATTGGCTTGAACTAGCTGTCAGTTACTGCGAGTACTCTCAGATCTGTACTTAGTGTCTTTTTGTTGTGATGTATTTCTGCTTTGTATCCATCTGATGAGTTAACCCCTTTTGAACTGATTTTTATAGTTTGTTCCTATGTTGTACTGTTACACCACTGTCCGAGGTTAGGTGGATGGTTGGCGCTTTAAAACTAGTTAAACACCGCCACTCTCTGTATGTGCCTGTCCCAAGTTCGGAGCCTGCAATTCAGTGGTTGTCGTTTGTTGCTGTATATCATATTTGTTTTTCGTTCATTATTTTGTACGTAAATCAGGCCGTTAGTTTTCTCGTTTGAATTGTTTTACATTTGTCATTTCAGGTCTTTTTATAGCTGACAATGCGGTATAAGTTTTATTCATTTTGAAGGCCGTACGGTGACCTACAGTTGTTAGTTCTGTATCATTTTGTTCTCTTGTGGAAAGTTGTCTCATTGGCAATTATACCACATCTTATTTATATATATAATAACAAAATATAAAAATCAGTTGAAAAGGGCTTAACTCTTCAGATCGATACAAAGCAGAAAAACATCTAACAAAAACACAGACCAGACGTGGCAGGGTGTTCATACATCCCTGAAAAAACAAAAAAGACACTGAGAGTACTCGCAGTTAATGACAGCTAGTTCAAAGCCAATAACAACTAATACAAAAATCATGTATCAGGATTTCCTCCTTGGTAAGTGTCATGGGGGTATATGTTGAGTTTCCAAGTGAATTGTCAATACCTGATTAATTTATCAAGCAGTTGATGTAATGTGATTTACACACAAAAACAATGTCGTTTGGGCTATATCTATGGGGACAACAAAATATTTGTCATGTATGTAGGACAGGTGTTTTGCAACATTGGGGTCTTTTTTTTTTTTAAATTCTGTAGGCAATATCGATCGAATTTGAGGTACAATTATGTTCCCAATCTGTGTTTTTGAAGATGGAAAGTTGCTACACTGAAATGGTACGTTAATTCACAATGATAAAATTGAAATAATCTCTTTTTTCGTAAAGTTACGTTCCCAACTGACCGTCATTTTTAGCTATAGATGTGTCGAGAAATGAAACATACTTAACTGTATCTGTGATCTCCTTTATTATATGGGATATAAGCAATTAAAATAGTTTCAAAAATTTGAATTATTCAGTGACAAGACATGATCTATATAGTGCAACGTGAAGTTAAAGGCTTATACCAGTTTCATTCATTTTTTCTTTTCGGTTTTGAAATTGATTTGTACTCAATTAGACGATACTCGCGTATGGCTTACTAAATTACACATAATGCCTTTAAAAGTATTACTGAAGCCGTTATTGAATATCTATCACAAATGATCACATTCTCGTTCTCTTTCCCTCGATTTTATAACATCAAAGAATAGTCACAGAATTTGTACTTACCATGAGCAACATGACGAGTGCCACTGGTGGAGCAGAACCTGCCTACCCTTGCGGAACATGTGAGATAACCTCCAGCTTTTGCTCAGTTTTTCTGTTTTCTATGTAGTGTGTGTAGACTTGTTTTGTCTTTATATTTCGTCCTCTTTCGTTTTTTGCCACTGTGTTGTCAGTTTTTCTTTGACTAATGAGATTCAAATGTCCCCTTGGTATTATCTTCTGCCTCCCTTAACACGCCTGGTATCCATGGAAATTTTACAACCTCTGGTTTGATACCGCTGCTTGTGGACTATCACCAGCTTAGTAGTCAGCGCTTTTGTGCTGATCTGAAATATCACTGATGCGGTCATTTTCTGTAAATTTTCTGTTCTTGAAATTAAATTATTATTGGAAACAATTGAGTGTCTCCACTCTCAGGCACAGATAGCCTTTTGCTGAAGCCAAATTTAGAACAACCTTTTGGAGTTTTGGGTTTTCAATCCTTTTCAACATCGTAATGGATTGTGCTTGAACTTTGTTTTGATTTAAATGCCACTGATCAGTCATGTGTAGATCAAGACGAAACGCTCGTTTGCTATTCTAAATTATAAGCCTTGTATACGTATCTTTGGGGACATTTTAAAACCACTGGGTCGATATCGCTGCTGGTATATGTTTTCCACCACGAGGGTATCACCAACCCAGTAGTCGGCACCTATATGAGGATATGACATATCATAGATTCGGTCATTCTGTGTATTTACTGTTCCTAAATATTAAAATTCCTTCCATACACTAAGTTGTTCTACCCTCATGCCTAAATAACCTAAGTCAGAGTTAGGCACAACTTATTTGGGGACATTTTAGTTTCCAGTGCTCTTCGTCTTCGTAATTGATTTGGTCTTCCTAACGTTTTGCTCCGAGCGCCAGAGACAGATTAATCTTTTGTAGACGAAATATGCATCTGGCGTACTAAGTTATAAGCCTGGTAACTTTGAAAACCTATAAATGTTGTCATTCTAGCTTTTTATATAAGCGATAAAAAGGATAAAGGAAGGATATATAAACGGGAGAAGGGAAATGCATGTTATTGACAAAGTTCTGGTAAAACTATAATGATTAAATCACTGTATATTGTATATTCATGAGGAAATATGATGGTCTTGGGATTTTTCAAAACCGGTATAAATGTTCTTCTTTATTGTCGATTGGTGTTATATTAAGCACATACATTCCGCAAACTGCGATATAAATCATATTTTGCTTGCATTTATACTGATTTCAAATTTCAAATCAAGTTATATTAAACCGTTTCTGATTAATTACCGACCAGATGAACACTGCTTTTTTGTCTGCAGATTGAGTAGTTTGATCTACCTTGCAGTTAATTTCATAATTGATAAACAACCTACCATTCAAAATCAGGTTGGTGGGATTTGTCTTCATATCTTTAAGTTTTATGTTATAATGTGGTTTTATCAGTATGTTCGAAACGTTTTCTTCTTTTCCAATGTTCTGCTTCTAACCAAAGTTATTGATTAGAATAGAGATGTTAGTTGATAACTCGCTAAACAGGGACACATGTTCATCCTGTCACAGTGAAAATGTCTTAAATTATTGCTTTATACATGTACAGTTTTTGATTTTCGAAAACATTGTCGTTTTTTTGTTAAAGATTTTCATATGTCAAGTTTGGTATCGATTTAAAACGCAGAAACTTGAAAAGACGGTTTGGGTCATGAGAAAGCGATCTTTATCCTAAAATTTTATGTCTTACCTAAATTCAAAACGCAAGGCCACTCACTTAAATGTCAATATATTGCTTAAGTTGGAACTTTTGAATCAAAACAAGAACAAATAGGGCTTAAATAGTATCAATCTAAAAGAAATCAATGCAATACTCCTGAATTCCTCGCATTCTGCAACTGACGTGGATCATTAGTAAGTGTGAAAAAAGAATTCAGTACTAAAGTAATTGACAATAAAACCCAAATACCAACTCATATTTTATTTCAAACAACTTCTTCGATGTCGCTTCTAAAACATTTTACAAGAACATTTGCAAACATTCAAAAGCATGACCTTGAGCATAAAACTAATATAAAACTGAATGGCTGATACAAAAGAAATAACATTTAAATTACACTCATTAGGATAGTATTTGTTATTCAACAATTATAACCAAAAGAACAGTTTTGATATTGCTGCTGTTTCTTTCCTACTGCAATTTCCTTGTAAATTTACAAAAAAAACTATAAAAAGCTTTAATTCTATTATCAGGACAAGATATTTTGCATGTGCTTTTGATACATGCATCGTTAAACTGAAAAGTTTTGAAAACAAGCTTACTATTATATCTAATTTCAAATTATGCAAACAGATATGAATATTTTTTTTTCATTTCGAGCTAAATTTCAATGTTTTTAAACAGTATCTAAAATTATACCAATAATTCTGGATGTTTTCAAATAAAATATTTCTAATGCAAATTCCCAGTTTCAAATAACTTATTTTATTGTGATTGTTTGATATGTAAACCTTTTAAAATATTATGATAACATACATTCACCAGGCATGCAGATTGCAACAGATTGTTCATATTGATGAATAATTTTCAATGAAACATGAATCATCGTAAATATTTCAATTTACATGTAAAACAACTTTCCCATTTTTTAATGACTTGATGAAATATAAAAACAATTTTCACAGAGTTGGTTAAACTGTTTGGAACAGTTCAATATAAAAAAAAAACTAATGAAGAGTGGCAATCCTACCACACCTCTTGATTTTGATACTAATAAAAAGCTCATTGCATTGATTTAATCCGAACTTGCCAATATTTTACTATGCTATACTGACGACTTCTGTTCTCTGTTTGGATATTCCTTTTGAGTTATCAAGTCAGTCCAACTCTTGTAATGAACTTTTATAAGTAATATATGAGATTACTATTTTTAGCTAATAAGTTGAATTTGCTGTTGGATAATCATTATGGGTGATAAGTAAAAACATTAACCTCCAATATCAAAACAAATATAAAAATTATTGAATGATGACCTTTTACTGCAACCTTCAATCTTTGTTCAATAGTAAAATATTTTTTTCCCATTTTAACCTTTTTTTATATACTTAGTAAAAAAGCATCAGATATAGCATTTATTTATTTTTTTGTTCAACACAGAGGGTAATATGTTAATGTTATCCTACAAAATGATAAAAAAAATTCATAAAAGTATTAAAACATAAAAATCTCTTATATGGCATTGGAATGTATACATGACTATCTAGTGAAAATGGGTGAACATTTATAAATCGCATGCAAATACTTCAGATCTGCTTCCATAATTACTCTCTGTCATTATGATGTATAGTAGGACAACTAAAATAGTGTCATTATCATTTATAGTGGGACAACTAAAATAGAAAAGGTACAATGTAATAAAGTATGAAATGTCAAAAATCACTATTTACAGCATGCCCTAAAATAAGTTAACAAGATAGACGTACATATTTAAAACATTACTGACCTTGACATTTCGTTATACCAAATTACTTATTAATTTGTCCCAATGTAAAAAGTATCAAATATTGGATATTTATCACAATAACCTTAGAAAGACACATTTATACCGTACAAGGCTACATAGATATTGGGAATATAAAAAAAAAGTTAATATTCTTAAAACACATAAAATATCAATGTATTGACAATAACCTTTGAAATTTCAAAGACAAGGTAGAAGATAGGTTGCAAATCGTGTCAGCATGAAAAAGTAAAATGAAATGTAGTATTATTTCTAAGAATTATGTAATGACATGATAAAATAGTATTGTTGTTTTTGTTTACTCTTTCGTGAACACTAGAAGCAAATCCTATTCATCCTTACTGTTTAAGTGGTCATTATCACTTATTCAATTAAAATATAAGCTAATTCTGAAAAAAAATTGTTAATGATTCCAGAAGTAAAACTATTACAAAACTACCATCCTTTGTAATGCTACTGATCTAACTGCAACACTATATTTTGTTATTAATACATGCCATGATGGCAGTTGGGTTAAATTAGTCTAACCTATAGATTAAAATCCCAAGTAAAACCTGATTATGTCACAATTTCTTCTTCCATTTACACTTCTATCATAAAATGAAAAGAAGTTCCAACACAATACAAATACTGCAATGTTATCAGAGCCGTTATCAAACATTTGAGTCTTTTTGTAAGAATTTTTCGTACTCCATGCTGTTGGACAAAAGTGTTGGCTCTGTATTTGAAGATGTGGCAATATGATTTTCTTCTACTCCGTCGTCATCTATAACACATATCTTACTCATATTTTCTCCCTCTCTTATCTGATGTCTTTGCAAGCGAGGCATTGTGTTAATGACAAAACGCTGTAAAATAGTTTAAAATAAAATACAAATTTTATGTTTTCCAAAACAAAATGAGTTGGAATGAGTTAGAAGGTGAAGTAAGCACAACAGATAATGTTTACCTTATCGTTAATCATCGTCTGATGACATTCCTACTTGATCTACTACTTTTTTCCTTGATTCAAACTTTTGTAAATGACTATGGACTCATGAATTGAACATTGTACTTTTTTCATAAAAGAATCAGGAACATGTTTCATTTATTTACTAATCCTACCAATTAATAGATAATTGTACATAATACCGGTATAGAAGAAATTCAAATAGAACAAAATACCATGTTGTCAATGGATTATATATCTATATATATGCTTTTCAAAAAGATGCTAAGAAGGGAAACAATCGTACTTCTCTCAATGTTCCTGGTGTCTGGATAAGTCTGACGATGAAAATTATTGGCACCCATATCACTGAACTTAAGGCCAATATCCAACCCACTCCAATAGCCCATTGAGGATACTGGTACGTGAATGTCTTCCTCTTGTAGTCCAATTCAGAATAACTTATAGCTCCAATTATGAATATAATCTAAAATAAAATGTTGATCGTTATTGTTAAAACATGTGTGCATGCTTCCTAATGCAGAGTTAAATTGTAACAAACTAATTATGAATATATTTGATACATAATATTACAATCTTATATCTATTTTTAGTCATGTTGTATCATAGACAAGAATTTTTCCTTTCCATTGTTTTAAAAGAGTGTTTATTATTTATAATTTAATCAAAGCGCTTGTGCGCACTGAGGTGTACATATTCCTCTTATTTTGGACTTAGTTAAGCAATGGAACAAATTTAGGCAATATTTTGAATTGGAGTTTTCTTTGTCAACAAATGTAGCGGTGACAGTAAGGTTTTGATGTGCAATTTTCACCCCCAAAATGTTTTTCACCAAAATAAATTCCAGGGGTCTGCAATAACTTACATAATTATCAAGTCTATTATGCAGTTTTTTTTTCCACTACAGTAGATAGATAAATCCTATATGTCAATGTAGTTATCATATACACAAAAACAATAATTCATATTTTCTCTTTTCCCAAACAAACATTAGAGGTATTGATCTCTCATTATCAGTTGTGTTACAAGATATTTTCAATATCAAAGCTTCTTCATTACTTCACGTATTGCCCTTGCTTTAACCGGTTTAAACTCTCATACAAACAACATTCTGTAGTGGATGCAGTTTTTATGTTCGAACCTCTCTTAGGACAGGGGCGATACACATAAACTGGTTCCAATGTAAGACTGTTTTTGAATGAACAAGAACATGTTTAAAAAGGAGATATCCTGAAATTAAAGGCACCCTATGCGTAAGACAGAATATAGTATAAAGACGGTACATGCACCAGTCGCCTGTGTTGTTTAAACAGGACTTGTTACACAGTGATGGTGATTAGCGGCTTGTCATCAAATCTGGTATATGTAACACCACCACGTAGACCTACTGAATACCAAGTGAATATTGAAAAGGTTCAAATACACAAAGTGTTATGAATATTTCCTTATTTGATTTAGGGTCAGTATAATATTCTGTTGGAAACGAACAGCTTTGGAATTGCAAAATACTTCAGTCAATAGAATGATTAATCGAATTATGACACCATATGAAATGAAATGAGTAATGTCCAATAAAGGCAACAGTACTTTGTTGATCTTTAATTCTTATAAAACGATTAAGAAGATAGAAATCAAGTTAGTTTTTAAACTTGGATAACAAATCAGCTCATTTACAATTGTCTGAAGTAGAGTCTGTTTCATCAAATTATTTTTTAATTTTTATTATTCTTGCCAATGTGGATCTATTATCGCTGGAATCTGTATATCAATCAATCAACTAGTAATATTTGTATCAGTAAACACTGAGACATCTGCATTAACGACGATCGTAAAAAATTTGTTTAAAACTATATTACAGTCGTGTTATAACATTGCTAAGGTGTCTCCTCCTGATCAGTTCTTTTGGTTAATGACATGTGAGCACATATCAGTATTTAAACATTTGAGAAATTTTGGTTATCCTTACTGTAGATAGTTTAATGCTTTCATCAATACTGCGAAAACAAAATGGTTAAGTTCATATTTTCGTAACTGCTTGCTTGTCTGGTTTAGACATATGGATAATTATATTCATACGATTCTTAAGCACCGCCCATGGTGTCTCTCCAGCTAAGCAACCAACTAAAAGGCACCTATTCATATGTTACGTTTGTCTCCCCTTTGGTCGCACTGCAGCAAACAGCTTTGCTGCATAGAACCGAACTTTCAAATCATTTTATTTTGTTTTTGTTATCACGACACCGGTATTATACATTGCCTTCTAGTATTGAATTTGTATTGTTTGTTTGTGTTGATATAACTGAATCGTGATTGTACCCCCAGAAACCTTAACTGGAATAAGCACTTCTTGTATTGTATTGTATTGTGTCGTTCAATAACCAATAATCAATTGATACATACGAAAATTCTTAATAGGCATTTGAAGAAGTAATTGATAAAAAACAACCTATCTTGGATAACATGGTTTTTGTTAAAATAACATATGTCTGAGTACTTCCTTTGATTTGAAACGATTGGTCAATCTGCCCTTAAAACGGAGGGGTGGAAGAAACCAAAGGGACATCAATACTTATAAGATGAAAAGAAAAACTGACAACGCCTGGTGAAAAACTACGAAAAGACAACGGTCTACTAAAGTTAACCATTTTATCTTCAGACAATCTTTACCAATAAATTATATCAGATGAAAAGCGAAACCTAAAAGCAATTTTATAGATCTCCATTATCTTCTTTTGTTCATTTCGTCATTAAGGCAAACACTAATAATATTTACTAGATTAGTTAAAAAACAAGGACCATAACTCTGCACAAAATCGTCAGACCGAAACATAATTCGAACTTGATCTGCAACTTGTCATGATAAAACAATACACCAAATATCAAATCAATATCTTCAAGCATGAAGAAAAAAAGTGTAGAAAACTGATTTGCCGGACTGACAGACAGACAGACAGACAGGCAGACAGACAGACGGAGTGCAAACCTAAAGTCCCCTTCGACTTTGTCGGTAGGGGACTTAAAATAACATGGACGGTATAGAAATATTGATCCTCTATATTTCAGCTTGCTCTTTTTGCTTTGTTACAGAAAATAATGAGATCAATGTAATGTTATAGTCTAAAGCGTATAGGAAATGTCAGATATCCTTGGTTATTGTTGGATCAAAGCTGGCTTTGTTTTTATCTTTGTGTTGTTGTATTTTCTTTAGTTATTTATTTCCTTTAAGACATTTGATGTTGAAGGTATATTTGTGGTGTTCTTTTTTTGATTTGTTAATGTCTGGGCTATAATGAGCTTTATATAGTTTCTGGTGTTGAAAATCGTCTCCCAAGGTTTTAATTGTTTGTTTTCTGTCTGACACAAAATGTTATGACTAAGGGAAATAATTAATTATTTTAAAGGCTTATAATCTCCTTGAATGTAGAAATTTGGTATATCTATATAACAATAATCTTGATCAACCAAATACCAACCATAATTCCTGTTAAAAACAGAAGTAAGTATAATCTACAATGAATTCCACCCTCCTGACATCTACAGAAATAATTAAGTGCATATTTACCATACTGAAAAGGGGAGTGAAGATCGCCCACATGTACTTCATTACTTTCATAAGTCGACTCATGAAGGGTGACAATTTGTAGCCAAACATCATCTGAAGGTTGTCATAGAAACGATTAACACCTATAAGAACAAGAAAATAAACCCAATAAACAAATAAAATATAACATTTAATTGCACAGGTCAAATATAATGGTTACGTCACGTCAGCATGTTTTATCATTCAGAAAGTATTGGCAACATTTTGTTTTCTAATGACATGATCATAAAGATTTCTCTCGTGTGTAAATATATTTTTGGAAAAGGTTGCTGATGAATCATTGGCACAAATCAGCATATATCAGTCTTCATAACGTCAGGTTAAAACTAAAACAAGAGTGCACACGCTGAAATGTCTCGCCTGCTTTACTGACCATTGATTTTATGTTTAAAGTCTTAAAGATATAGGTTTCAATACAAGTATCAAATAAACTTAACATTTTTAAAGATTCATGACAATGAGGTCAAAGTCAGATAAATCCCGTCAGACAGATATGTACACCTTAAAAATATTCCATACACCAAATAAAGTTGACCTATTGCTTATGGTAATTAAAAAACAGACCAAAAACACAAATATTAACATTGACCAATGACCCATGTAAATGAGGTCAATGTCAGACAATACCTACCAGACCGACATGTACCCATTACAATCATTCCATACACCACATAGTTGACCTACTGCTTATAGTATCTGAGAAACGGACCTAATCACGTAACTTTAACCTTGATCACTGATCCATGAAATGAGGTCGAGGCCAGGTGAACCCTGTCTGACGGACATGTAGACGTTGCAAGTAACCCATATACCAAATATAGTTATCCTATTACTCATAATAAGTGAGAAATTCACATGACAAAAAAATATAATGTTTTTCAAGCAGTCACTGAATGTTAAGGACAATTGACATATGGCAGACGGAAACTTCGTAACATAAGGTATCTGCATACAAAGTATGAAGCATACAGGACTTTACCTTTTGAAATATAAAGCTATATACAAATAGTTTACGCCGCCGGATAGTAATCCCTGTGTCTTGCATACTGCGAATAAATAGTCACATTTGAAGTTCATCTTGTCAAAAATGACAAACAAATCTGTTAAAGATGATTATTTAAAGTGAATAATAATAAAATGGTTATTTTCACCCATACTTCTCTTTATAGCCTACATTAATTACATTTCACAATAAAATCGCAACCTGCTAACGTGACGTATTGAACATGCTTTTATACATACCAAAGGAATATATGATTTAAAGACAATATTAAGTTGAAAGGTCAAGTTATTTTTGGAAATATCTTTGGTGTCATTCGGAAGCAGTACAACAAGAGACCCAGTCCTATACATTTTTAGTTTTTTTTTATGAGAAATGTATTTTAATCTGAAAATATTGGAAATCCCATCTCCCAGGGAAAAACTCATAATGTATGACCATGTCTAAATAATATTTGACGAATATGTTTATGAATGAATTACTTTAACAGTTTAACTTTTTGAATTATTCTACACAAAACCTTTATATAATACCGAATTAAATGGTAGTTATTCCCACGAATCTTATAGGATGTTAATTTCAATTGTTTGGATGCTAGTAGATTTGTAACATAATTTTTTACTCTTATACATTGAAGTATATAATTCTGATTACAATGTTCTTCTTGGTAATCCGGAAAGCAAACATTTCAATGGAGATCCCCGACATCTATTGGGCGCATCGCAAAATGCAAAGATTATAAAGGTAAGGGATATACACATTATATTTAGAAAAATAATAATGTGCATGCATGCAACATTCAAAAAGTTATTATTTAACAATCTCATAATTTACTTGTTACAATGTTAATTCTTATCTCATTTAAAATGTGTTCTCTCTCGTAGTCTCTCATTCGCTCTAAAAATATGAATATTGCTAAAGAAATGTGTGTATAATACCGAAAAGAAGAAAAAATATTGTGGTTATAAATATAGATTTGCTATCTACTTTAAACAAACATACCAATACAATTACTCTTTCGAAAAAATTATGAAATGGGACATTTAAGAACATCAAAACTGCAAAACAGAGTACTTTAAATATTGTAAGTGAAACTGTATTTTTGACTACGCAGAAATTAGAAATTACAGAATAAAAAATATACCCAATATGTTTGACCTTGGTTGTAACAGTCTTAATGCGTTTCAAAGTCACAATTTTCATCCTGCAAGGACAATTTTTTTTAACGTAAAAAATGAGAATAAATATTAATAATCATGCAGTTCCAATTCATTGAATGTAGCATTAATATCTTTTTATTTACATGTATATCATCAGCAAACGACACATACATTCTGAAGACCCCACACCAGGTTTGCGTCCAATCGATATAGTTTTTTTTTTAATTTTTCATGCCATTTTTCTTCCTTGTTATCTATATGTTTGCGTATCATTTTCTGTTCTTTATATTTCAGCACCCGATTATTATCTGTTCATTATTTGGTTTGGCCCATTATTTATTTCTATCCCATAAATCCCATACATACTCATTAGTTGCAAAGAACTATGGCATATAGTAGCAAAATGTTGGATGGAGTAAAGAAAAATCTTTTACAGATGAAGAAACAAAAAGATCAGGGTATACTCGGTAATACTGTTCTTAGACAGGTAAATTTTGATTGTCCAGTAGTATTTTGTTACTATTTATATTATAATCCATACAAGATAAAAAGACTGCAGGATAAAAACAATGACTTTATTTAAAAGGATGAAAATCAAACTAAAACAAAACATAAAGTACATAATAATTTCAAAATACTCTCCTTAGCAGCAACGTAAATTTCGTCCAGTGAAGTGTGCAACAAAAGACCCTCACCTCAGAATTAGTTTTGAAAAAAGTTGAGGTCCTCTTCGGTTACCTTGTTTATAATTAAAAATTAAAATCCTAAAAGTATCTATGATTCTCTTATCTTGATATGTGTCATGCAATAATATAAAACAAAGTGAAGGTGACAAAATGTGAATATTAATAATTATGTCCAGATTCAAAATTATTTTCAACTATAGGCTATTTAGTTATCTTTTTCTTTTGGTGGTCAGATGTAATAACATATAAATATAAACCAATTTATTCATGAAAGAATTAAGAACACACAAATGAAAACAATGGAAACATTCCACAAGGCAACATTATACCAATGGCATACTGGGCAAAATTTATTGATTGTTGTTTTCGTAAATTCCATTAGGCAAACTGGAAAGGAATTCTACGACAATGTGGCTGATATATAACAACTAACCCTAAGATTAGACATTTTTATAAAGATATTCCTGTTTATGCATCACTCTTGGGTTGTTAAGAAGTTGTAACACATACAGATACAAATTCCTTCCATAAGCATGCAGTAATCTTTTTTAACCTTTTACCATTTCATACTGTTAAAAAAACGTAAAATCTACTCGTATAGTCCAAACTTTTAAGACGGATGTTGTGACCACAGACCAATCATATATATTTTTGTTTGGGTATATCATATATAATTTTCGAAATCTAAAATCTAAAAATTGGATGCAGTAAATACTCCTGAAAACGAATTTATTATACAAAGTTAAGATCAGACTGAAAAGAAACACTTAATAATATGGATGGACATATTCGAAGGTGTTCAAATATAAACATGTATCTTATAAAAATCTTGTGAATATATCTGAAAAAAAGCCAAACAGAACCTCGATGTTAGTATAAGCACATAAAAAGAAATTGCACCTAACTGTTACTCTTTCAATCTTCTTTCGCTCATACATAGTAATAATCACACATATTATATATTCAAATCATTGTATCCCTTTGGTTCAGGTTAAACATAAAATAAACTGGCGAAATGGGAAACTTTTGAAATGTGGCCGAAAGAGGAATGCCTTAGCTAGATATAACTTTTGAGTCCCATGTTCCAATGATGATAAGCTCTTTGGAATATCTGATTACTACAAATGGAGTCTAGTGGTCTACAAAAGGGGATTGATAATACACAAATTAATGTAGACTCAGATGCATAATATGTTCTTCAAAAATTATATCTTCTTACTGAACCAAAGGGATGTAGAGGGCAAATAAATCACACATTATTCAATACTTACTGTAAAACTGGATAATTACCTTGGGAAAGGGGGCGGCGGGCGAAATGGGTATATTTGAAGAAGGAGGAAAATAAATGTTGCCGCCTCTTAAAGAGATCCTTCAATTTAGACGTCCAAATGTTGTGGATGATAAGAAAAAAATATATTGCAAAAAAAATTCAAATTAACTGGCAATGGGGAATTTTAGAATGTAAGAAGGATCCCTTTCTCAGGAAACATACCGTAGATGTAAGCTACCACCACACACTCGAAGAAGGTCATTACAAGAACAATTCTGCTGGCCGCATAGTAGTCGAATAACTGAAATACATACATTCCGCCCTAATAGGACGGAGTAATCCTTTAGTCAAGAAAAAGCATTATCTTATTCAAGAAAAGGCAACATTACATGCTTTGTTAAGAGAAAGGGGATCTTTTCAAATAATAAGAATTTGAAGGAATTAATGTTCTGAAATTAAATTTACGGGATTGTACTTACCATTAAATTAAACCAAATTAAATTATATTTATATTGATTTATACTGTGTCACTTTATTGAAGTTTTATAGTACTCCAAGAAAGGATAAGATTTGATACTTACTTTTTAAATAGCTTAATTTTTAATCTTATGAATCAAGGAAAGAAACGGGTGTTTTAAAATGTGCCTTTCCTCCCTTTAAATAACTACTGCATACTGTTACAAATATATAACACCAGCATATAGTAATGATATTTAAACATGCAATAAAAGAGACAATATTAGAATATAACATTGAAAGGATTTGTCCTTTGTATGATTTAAGTTTTCTTTGATCATTCTGATAAATCATAGATTTTTTAAATTGGTCTTTTCCATCATCTACTAATGATAAAAGTGACGAATTCCAAGCAGGTGTGTCGTCTGCATGCATAATCAGCATGAACTAATTATATGCAACATCTTATATATATCAGCAATATTGATCATAAACGTGTAAAAAATATCCATTCAAATGATGATTTCATACAGTCATACTTCCATTCGTTTAATCACGTGGGATTTTATATTACATGGCATTTTAACCTGTATTCATGGATGTAATATGAGAAGTCGTCAATTTACTGCAGATATGTAGACCTTCCATTCAGATTAATGGTTTATGACTCCTGTCTGCAGGAGGAAAGGAAATAATGCAATAAATATAATGTCAAACAGCGTTATATTTACCTCTGTAACCATGGACAGCCCAATTGTAAAGCAGAAGATGCAAACGCATCCAATGAAAATTTCCCTCCGTTTTCCTCTCCTAAGCTGATGAGGGAAGTAGTCGACAATTGCTGTTACAAAACCTTCTACACCTACAAACTGAAGAAAATATTTCCCATATTAGGCACCAAGTATGATGCGAGGCAGTATTATTCATTGAGAGAATAAATCATATACAATTATAGCCTTTGAACGAGGTCTATGCGAGGATATATCGACATGAAAGAAGTATATATCCTTGTATCGACCTCATACAAAGGCTAAAATTGATATATTATTATTATCAATACGCAGCAGTTTTCTTTTAAGATTTCGATTTTTAAATATTTCAAAAATAACTTTTCTATATGCCGTTTTCAGTATACGTCTAAAAATGCAGTTAAAATGTGATTCTTTCTGAACGAATTAAATAGGTTAGAATATACTAAATAATAATGTCATTAGATATTGCAGCATTGATCTGTGGATGACGAAAAACAAGAATAAATCAAAATGCCCCTTAATTAAAATCAAACTACATATTCCCAGCAGCCTGAATTGCGCAACATGCAAGTAATCACCAAGAGCTATGTTTACCATAAAAGGATTAAGACAGTTTCGTCTTAACTGATCCATGTTTTCAAAGGAGAAACTTAATACATTGATACCATATCATCTACATTATGCACCCATTTATACAGATAGTAAACAAATGTGTTACAGATTGTTTATTTTATTGCAACCAGTTTAGAATAGAATTTAAAACGCTATTCAGCCGACGCCAACGGCATTGCTGAAATACATATTTACTGTGAAAGCCATTCATGATTACTATTTTTACCCTTTTTGTCTTAATGTAGCTCTGTGGACTCCAAATGTTGATAATAAACGATACTTGTAAGGTCAGTTGAAAAGTTAATTACCTGACTATCAAGTCCAAGAAGTAGAATCATAACGAAGAACAGAACAGACCAGAATGGAGCGGCAGGCATCTGTGCAACAGCTTCAGGATATGCAATGAAGGCCAATCCAGGACCTTTGATAAAAAAATGCATAACTATATAATTGTCATAAGATTTGCACATTTAGTAATGGCTTACTATGTATGGTTACAAGCACTTCCAGCAGCGATTTTTATTTCAGCTTCCTACTGACTACTTTCGTAACCAGTATAAGCAACATGGGGTGTGACTTCACGTTACACATACAAAAATGTAAACGCTATTTGCAACCGACAGTTGTTGACAAAGACAAAAAAAAAGTTAAAGAATTATCAGGATTAAAAGCATTTTCCGAAGTTGTAGATGTGTAAATTGGGGCAATTCACTAACAAACGTTAAAGAAAAGTCCTTTGGACGTATCCGTTTGTGAGTTCATTGGTCCAGTTTTAAACTATTTGATTTGAGCGTCACTGATAAGTCGTATGTAGTCTAAACGCGTCTAGCGTGCTAAATTGTAAGTCTGGTTGCTATAAAGAGTTTTTATACATCAATAATCTCTTTTGGAAAAATGGGTTTAATCCTACAGAAGAAGCACTTCTGACTAATATGTGTTCATCTCTACTATCAAATGAATATTAAACAGCAAAGTTTGTTACATGCAATGTATTTCTTACTTGAACGTGCGATCATGGTGATATGGTATTGTGTCGATTATGGAAAACTTAACAAATGACACAGGAATGAGTTGCAGTTCACCTTTATATAACATGAAAATTGTGAAGTTTTCATATTTTGGTTTGTTATATTTTATTTATTGTCCATTATAGCTTACATTTAATGTTAAAGACGAACTGTTTACAACATTGGACAGCATTTTAATTGAAAGATAGATGAACATAGGATTTACTAGGTTGTCTTGTTATTTCTTTTTAAACTAAAAATAAATGTATAAAATATTTATAATGAAATGAAACTTCAATAGCTTATCATTAACGCAGATATACATACCAGATTCAGCGACATCAGCAATTGAGACTCCTTGTCGTTTAGCCATGAACCCGAGTACAGAAAATATGACTAGACCAGCCAACAAGCTAGTAAAACTGTTAATACAGGAAAATATAATCGAATCTCTGCAAGTACAAAACAATGAATGCAAATCAAAATGCAATTATATATTTTATTCATGAAATCAAAACATATTCCTACTATTTTTCTATTTAGGAATGTTCGATAAAATAGGATTACCTGAAGTATTCATTGCTTCTGGTAAGGTGGTAATTAATAGTCATAATATAAAGCCAATGATAGGTGTATATGATAAGGTGAATATAATAAGCTTTAAATTGTCAAAATATCAGTAGGTACCTAAAAAAGCTCAATGCAGAATGAGTATACAAATAATCATATAATAAAAGAAATTACTACTTGTAGTACATTCAAGTGTCCTTGGTGTTTTACGTCAAGTTGTGATTAAAGCAGGGTCGATTACTACTACAATTTACACATTATCAGTCATAATAAGTTTATCAATGCTTATTTACCCGTTTAAAATGATAAATAGTTTTCGAATTGATTTCCCTTGTTGGGGAAAAAGATCGATGTTGTTTCATTATAAAATTGCCAAAGTGGTACACAGTTTAATTGATTTGTAAGCTCCTTTTGTAAGATAATCGACAAACTAAATATTCCTTTTAAGTGAACATAATAAAACTATTGAATACCAAAATAAAGCTCCATACCGTCTCCAGTTGTATCATAAAATCTTATTCTATTTGTATAAATCGCCAATGTAATGCAACAATAACTTGATAAAGAACACACGAGAAGATACAAACGACTGTACCTATTGACTTACATAAAAGGTACAAGTTTTGATAATTAAAACGATTGAAAGGTTATTCATATATTGACGGCAGAAAAATGTAAGCAATTACAATTTCATTCCAAAACCTTTACCATAAAACAGCATCAGATTGTGTAATTGCATCTGAAAAGTAGCAATGACAAATTACAAATATAATAACTTTTGGTTTTCTGATAAAGGAATTTATAAAAAGAAACAACAAACAAATAACTTTCGTCTTATTTTTATAACAGTTACCAAAGGATTTAAAACAGCACAAACCTGAAAGCATTGTGGTGAAATTTGTTGTAACTCCCTAGGGCTGTAAGAGTACCAAGAGCCAATGAATACGTGAATACAATCTGTGTTCCTGCATCCACCCACACCTGAAATTCAGCAAAGTGTATAGAGATAAGTAAAAAGCATGTAATTCCTAGTCTTGTATTTCACGATTTCGATGACAAAATGTATCGTGACTAATTAATAAGAATTAACTGTTGTCCTTTTGAATGTTGCTTGTTTTTACTGAACAGAACAGCAGCAAATGTAGTGTGATTTCTCAGACTATATGAATGTTGCATGACATGTATCAATGTTATTTTACTTTTATATTGCAGTCGTGCATTATGTTTTATAATATGTACATTAATTCATACCTGTGGTTCACGTAATTTTGACCAATCAGGAAGTAAATAATATTTCAATCCTAATTCTGCACCATCTAGTGTTACTCCTCTGATTAACAATATCAACATAAATATGTAAGGACTAGTAGCCGTGAAATACATAACCTACAATCAATATAAACAAACTGGATAAAGCTAATTGATAAATAATAAGACAAAGGTCACATCTTCATGCTTTACAAAATTTCATTTTTATCAAGTTATATGAAACTAAAATCAGAAATGTCTATTGTTTGAAGATTTGTTTTAACATAAAATAAAATAACACATTTATCGAGTAAAAGTTATAAATATTTAGCATAATCAAATAATCATTATCTTTAAATTTTAATTTTCGCTTTTAAAAAAAGCAATCTTTATTTTTATAGTACTTAAATAAAGGTGGTGATGACATCCAACGTTGGCCTTATCCTGTATTAACAAATAAAAAAGGCAGTTAACATTAAACAACTATGATAGGCAATGTTTTACGTGAATTTGGGGTAACGTTCTCAGAATCAGGGAAAAGCTCCGTATCTCGTATTTCATCCTTTTATCCGGAAGTTGTTTTTCGAATATTTTTAAAGAAGTGCTGTGTACTTTGTTTCCTTGAATACTCTTTCAGTTAAAACCCATCGTCAACATCCAACTATATATTCACAAACATGTCACGCTTTGATTCCTCTTACTAGAATTACAATACAGCACTAGTTTTCTTAATGTATGCATTACTGTTGACGATTTTCGATTTAGCAGTTGTCTCGTTTACCTATTCCCATGTAGGTAGGTAACATTTTTATAAACACTATGACTGCTGGATTAAAAACGTAAGATATACGAATTATCCATTTTCTTACTTCAGAGTATAGCAGAACTATTCCCTGAATTCCTTTACCGACTACAAATTCACGTGCAACATTTGCCTTGTACATGATAAAACATATTTATTCTAACTCATATCCATGCTCCCAAAAAGATAATGCAAAAAAAATATTAACAGATTCTGTAAATTCTAATGTGTGGGTAGAATCCCCATTTCAGAGGAATCGCCACATAAATCACCTTGCCGGAGGATTTAATGCCCTTCCAAATGCAGAAATACACGATGATCCAGGCTAGTAAAAGGCAGAGGGCTAGGTCCCACTTGATGGCTCCAGGGTGGTCCACACCGCTGGACAGACTCAGCACTTTTCTCCTGAAGAAATGTATTGCTAAGAATAATATGGTTGATTCCGGATCGTCATATCCGGTCACTACTTTGGAACTTCATGTTCATTCACCTATTATCTACCTCAAATTTAAGTATGCACCCTAGCATTTATTTAAGAATGCTTCTAGTTTCAACATTAATAGTACTTGTGTCTACAGTACATTAAATGAATAATGTGCCTTTTGTTTCAAATTATCAAATTCTATACCACCACAACATATTGTTCAAAAGGACAATGTGCTATAACGCCTATTTCTGTCGTGAACATTGATTTAGTTCAGCCACAATTACTGAGATCCTTCTGATGTCTGGAGTATGTAGGTGTTTAAGGAACATTTAATTTTAAGCTTATTTATTTTTGTGACATAATCATGATGATAAAACTACATTTTTTATTTTAAAAAATATTAAGATATACTCTTGACCCAAAAATGTTTAACGGGTACTCAATTTAGTTTCCATTTTAAAACTTAACGAAGCAAGGGACTTGATTAATCCGCTGTATGTATGTTTTATCCAGTTTGTATTAGGTCAGCTGTTTTCATCCTTTTATTGAAATAACGATTTTTAAAATAAAAACACCGGAAGTTGCATATGATGATTACTTCCTGACATATTTATCTTTTGAAACCGTCAGCTTATATATGGATCAACAAAAGGGTATTTTCACAAACGATAATGTTACATTATGCTGTCTCGTTGCAAATATTATGTCTATTAATGAAAGGTTGATGCTTCTAATAATAATACCACATACAATACGATAGATAATTCAAGTACATTGAAAAATACATTTCTTGAATGAAGTTATTAGGCCGAAATGTACTTGTCATCGTTACATGTTTTACAAAAATTTCATGAAAAACATTTAATTATTGTAATATTATTTTCGTAAGGGTGTCTGAAACCTTAATGTTGATTTAGGTTCAGCCAAATTCTTTGGCTGAATAGGGCCCTTAAACGATTGAAGATGTTCTTGTCATTATATTTCGTTAGTAGATTCAGAGACATATAATACAGTATATCTCTGGTAGATTCAAACCTTTTTTTATCAACAAATTCCGGATAATTTTACACGCTTATGTTTATGATTTTACTTTATATTCACCATGACTAAATCGTAAAAATTAACAAAAGGGTTTGAATTACAATGTGAACTTTAAGAATCATAAACAAATGCATAGCCAAGCAAAACAGAATAAAACACTGCACTTAAATCTTCAGTAAATTTTAAAACTCAAACTATTCATTATGTACGAACTCGATATATTATTACCTTTAAATATGTATAAATATACAGTATTTATATTATATAAATAGATTACAAAGCTTTTTGAAAGTGGCATTTTAAAAGTACAACTGCATTGACCCTTTCAAACAAATAATAGGTATGCAGATTACATAGACAATGAACATCACACACAGCATAGTAACGAGTCGATCTACATGAATAGAATAATTCAGCTAAACAGTCATAATAGATTAAAATGGTGTGATAAAAACTATCTATTGTAATCTGTCTTTTGCCATGTTTACGATCAACAAAATAGGATTCAAAGCAAACAAATATATCAACAATTGATTTTCTATATTCATATGTTTTTGACACACATATTTACTGATTCAAATTGTCTAAAATCATTTTTTCCTGTTAAACTTTTATGTTTTAAACCTATGATAAAATGCCTTTTGTAGAGAAAAAGCTGAGAATACATGTATTCTTGCTGAAGATTTCAAATTCATTTCTTAATAAATATATCTATATATGTATATATATATTTTTAAAGAGAACAATATCATGAATATAGGATTATTAGAACTAAAGTCTTAAAATGTATACAAGCTTACCTGATAAATATATTCATGAATATTATAGCTGTAAAAATAATTATTAGGAAAGACATTTTTTCAGCATAATACATTTTCCAATTAAAAAAAAATTAAAATTAAAATTACTTACTCCCAGAATTCTGTGACAGGATCACATAACTTCTTTGACAGATTAGATATGCCATCCTCAACGTCTGCAGTGACGTTGGCAAGCAGTGAAATTGTGGAATTCACTGACTTTTCCTTGTAAAGGTTAGTACAGTTCTCAGAGTTCCATTCATTATTTCCATGAGACCAAGGCAATACAGCAGTAAAGGAGGAAAACAGGTAATAAAGCGACCAGGACAGAATTATATTGTATTCACAGTTGAGTAGGAATACAATGATAGCAGATGCAAATCCTATGCCTGAAATTCAAAAAGGACTACCATGATAATAAAGATTTTTCTTTCTTTCTTACCATCAGTGAAATATGTGATTAATTAGAATTTCAACGTGTAAGATTATTTTCTTTTAAGCTTTAATCTGATTGCGAAATTATCAAAATATTTTTATTTTTTTATTATTATTTAAATCTACCCTTAACCAACTGCAATCGTCTTATAGCATAATTTTCTGCGTGTTTGTTCTTTTCTTTTTTTTAAACTTAAACGGAAATAGTAAATACGTTTGGTTTTTATTTTACATCTGGCTTTCTGATTTAACCATTTTATCTTTTCGCGGACTTAGATCTTTTGAAACCAGCATAGTTTTTGATCTGTAATTTTACCAATTGTGTCCTCTCCCCGATCGTGACATTTTGTATTAGTGTGGATACGCATGACAGTTGATGCATGCATATCCTTTCAACGCACCCGGTCTCGCTCCGTTTTGAGTTCATGCGCTTCCCTCAGATTTTGTTACTTTGCTGCGTATTTTCTCGTCGATTTATGAGATTTGAACATCAATAAATTTCTGTTGCATACATTTGTCGTTATGTGCACTGATTATGGAAAATAACATGCATGTTTTGTCTGTTTCAAGAATAAGCCCAGAGCTCCTGGATTGTATGTCACGAACGATAATCGTAGAACAAAGTGCAATATGTTTTGAAATGGAAAAATAAAGTGTTGGATCTTTTCACTGACATGTATATAACATTATTTTGACATTGAAAACAATTTATCCAGCTTTTTATAAGTAGGGACCTTGTTGAATCAAGATTCAATTTGCTAATTGATCTGATCTAACTTTTGGAAATCTATGGAATCAGCAATAACGTTTGGAAAAAAAGAATAACAATCTATGGCCTTCTTTTCTAATATATATATACAGTATATAATTTGTTATTCATAAAGAGAACCTAATTGAAGGTAATAGATATTTCACACAAGGTAAGGAGAAACTGGAACATTCAAGTACTGTTGACCAAAAAATTAACTAAGGAAAACAGCGGGTCATTCACCAATATTATCTAGAAGGCGGTAAAAATGCTAACATCCCTTACACTGTATCCAGCATTGATGATCATTACAAAGGAAATGAATTAATACACAATATGCAGGTTCATAATTTACAAGCTTACACCTCGACGATTGGATGGCTTTTGTGCTTTTTAAGTGGTCGAGCTCATTCCATTAAATGTCAATAGCCAGCTAAAGCTAACTTTTTTTTAGATTGTTTTAAAATAGTTGTCTGGGTTTTTTACGTTACATGATCGAGTGACAAAACACATAGAAAAGAGTGTATCAGTTAATCATAATAAAAAGTGTAAAAGTTAAATGAACTTTACCTGTATAAAAAGTTAAGGCTGGATATTTCTTGAAGCACTTTATTACAATTTCCGATTAATGAAATCTTTTCTCGAATTCGTAGCCGATTTTTTTTACTTTTCCCAAACGGCTAAATATTTTTTTTTATAATCAACGTGTGCTTGACTTAATTATCTGTCAAAAATATTACCATTGCAGCCTAGAAAAAGTATCTTTCAGTGTCCAAGGTATCTAACTTTGCATTGATTGTTTTGTTTAAACAACTTCTAAGCATGATATATCTCACGAATTAAAGTACCGTGTGCTTTCTTTAAAAGTTACCTCGAAAGATTCGACAGTACATTGTTCATGGACAACCTTGTATTATTCACCTTTTTCCAGAAGACAAAATGTTAAAGAAAAAGAAGTTTGCTCGTTTACCTATTTCAATTCTGTTAATGAAATGTTTAAACCAAAGTGTATGCTAACTATCTTCAATTTATAATGAATAACATTTACCCTGAAACAAAGGAGTTATTTTCCAGGCGCTGACTCCTCCCTGAGCCATGAACTGTCCCAAACAAACCTCCAAGAAGAAACATGGTATACCACATACCACAACTGCTATGAAGTAGGGAATCAAAAATGCTCCTAAAAACAAAGATGTTAAATATTGTTTAGTGCTTCAGGTAAACTTTATTTAAAACCAAAACTGCAAAAAAATAGTTGAAGAATGTGATAACTATCAAATATGAAGTTTGGATTCCAAAATGTAGAGCACAGACAAACAATTCCTGAAAGGGCATTTCTATTGATTAACCTCAGCAAGAAATGTCTAAGAGGTTAAAATTAATTGCAACAATACTAGTTTGCTGCAGTCGTCTTACTTTTGTACAATTTTCACCGAACGATTTTATATTATGGTTATCTACTGGAGAATTTTATGTGAGATATGAAATTAAAAGGATGTGCCCATTTCTTTTGTATTTTAACGGTTGTTCATTAATATCTGGTAAAATTTCTCCCAAAATTCAATTGAATTACAAAGTAAAGCGATAACAATTCATCACACACCTGGCACCACTCTATATTTGGAAGTTTATGCAAACAACATGAAATATCATATATCTAAAAAAAAATCTTAAAACTTGTCAATCTGTACATCAAAATAACCTATATTAGGAATCTTCATACACAATGGATCAAAACATCACCAAAAATATTTTGTTTAAATGCAGAATCAGCTTAAACTAGTTTATTAACAAATGCAGCTTCAAAGGTAAGATAATTGCTTTATGAATTTAAATTTTTCCCGGAAAATTGATTAATTGGAAGATCGTGAATTCCTACCTCCTCCATTTCGATAACACAGAAACGGGAATCTCCACACATTACCAAGGCCGACGGAAAAACCAACGCATGCTAAAAGGAAATCAATCTTCTTTCCCCAAACTTCTCTTTTCTTTAATTTTGGTTTCAATCGATCACTTCCAGACGATGATGTAACAGTAGTATCTGTTGACGTCACTTCCGGATTATCGACTTTTGAGGGAAGTTTTTCAGGAATCCAGCTTGTATCTTCTTTTTGTTCATCCATTTCTGAAGAAAAAACACACAAATATATCAACATAAATTAAGTCTTCAGATAAATTTATTTGTAATTTTATACAATATTCCATTGTTACTTTAACATTCAAAATTTTATACCAAGGTTATTTTGAAGTAAAAGAGTAAAAAAAACTCCAACTTCAATGAAAACTAACGATTGACTAACAGGTGTGTACTTACATGAATGACATGACGGATGTCACATGTGGAGCAGGATCAGCCTACCCTTCCGGAGCACATGAGATCACCCCGGTTTTTGGTGGGATTAGTGTTGCTCAGTTTTTAGTTTGCTATGTTGTGTTTCGTATACTGTTGTCTGTCCTTTAGTCGATCTTTTTTTTTGCCATATGGCGTTATCAGTTTGTTTTCGACTTATGAGTTTGAATGTCCCTTTGGTATCTTTCGCCTCTCTTTCGAGTAACACGAAACCCATCAAAAATCGTCCGGGTTTAATGTGCTCTGGCAGGCTCTGCTGTAGTAGTTAAATGTAATGCCATAATGAGTTTTACCAGTAGAATGGAAGATAATTCATAAATCTTTTTGCTGGTGTGAGCTGTATAGCCGTTGTTGTGTACTTGTGCAAAATAAATACAAGATAACTTGTCAATGTCAAGAGAAAATAGATTATTGGCAAGTCTGTCGATATTCCTGGCTAGTGTTACTTTTTACGATAAACCTCGACACGAAGATGTAAACAAATTTCACCCCTGGTTAACCTTACTACGATTGGAACATTGATTTTCAAGCTAATTGATAAGCCTGGTATCTTTGATGAGTTTTTTTCCCCAAGTAAATAGTTTTTAAAGCTTTTATTCAATTGTGGCAATATACTGGGTTAAACAATATTTCTTTCTCGGAATTTGTTTGTGCGGTTTTTGGTGATAAAGATCTGCACGATGACGTCCGAACATTAATTACAGGTGTTCCTGAACTTTTCCAATAAGCATATGTGACATGTCAACCGACATTTTTCAATAAAGAATTTTTATAGTACATATAGTATACATGGTAAAATAAAAGAAACACAAATTATATAATTACAGTCGCAGATCAGAATTCAGAGTTTGGAAACGGTGGTGCAATATAGTCCTGCCCGAGAGGAGTAAGACACAATCTGATTAAAATACAGATCTGTGTCCAAGCTTGTAAGCAAACCTGCATTTTAATCCGATTGAGTAAGATACAAAGCATTTTGACATTTTTACGATTTAAAAAGAATGACGATTAAATGGTTGCTGCCCAAGCACCCCTGTCCTATTAACAAAGAAGTGTTTTCATTTATCAGCAAAAGTTGCAAGTTTTGGCAATCAAATCATACAACCAATTATATATAAAAGACAATTCAAATTAGCTATGATTTCTTCAAAAACAGTCAACAGTGGTCTAATCAGTTTTAATAATAATGAATAGAAAAGTGATCATTTCTCCAAAACATGGAACTACGTCTGGTTTGTTTGTGTCTAGAGACAACAATCAAATGATTATATATTGCTTCAGAAGTTCGGTATACATGAATACTCTGTACTTGGTCGGATAGTGGAGAGAACAAGCGTATTCATTACACACAGAATTAGCATAGAAAATATTATGTTAAAATGAATCATACGTGATGCATTTTAAAATCATTTAACTCAACATTAATATCTTGGTATTAACAATGCAAAAGATCATATGGTCGATATTCGAATGAAAACAACTTTGATGAGAGCGAGCATTACTAGATGGTGTATTGTGTTATTTTGTTTTTCATGCGGTTATCATATGTTAGATCGTAATTATTGATTTAGATCTTGAATTTATTCATAACTTGTCTAGACTCAATTTGAAAATAAATTGCTTATTTAAACCATTATATAACACAAAACTTACAGTTTACCGATAAATGAATTAAGTCCTTCGTAAAAGTACCGGATTACCGGTTTTGTCATCAGACGTAATAATAATTATATTCTCTATATAATTAATATTCAAATAGGAAATGTCCACTTAAATAAGGCTGAGTGCATGTTGAACAAGAAAAAACAATAAACATGTACGTTAATAAATAAACTTATCATAGATACTAGGCTTAAAATTGTGTATACCAGACGCGCGGTTCGTCTACAAAAGACTACCAGTGATGCTTGAATCAAAAAAGTTAAAAGGACCAAATAAAGTATAAAGTTGAAGAGCATTGAGGACCAAACATTCAGAACGGTTTGGCAAATACAGCTAAATGATGTTTACATTTAAGATCATACTTCACGGCTGCTGACGTACCATTTCCACTATGTGTTATTCAAAAATTGATAATACAAAAGATGGGCTATTTTGATGTCAACGGAAAAACAATGATGAATTGCGTTTCGAAACGAAAACTTGTATTCTGCATGAGTTGCACAAAGATAATTAATTCATTGCGCAATCGTAACCAAACTAAACACAATAACAAAGAGTCAATGACACCCGAAAAATTGTATTGGCACGTACACTAACGATAATTATTGGATGCTTACGTGTTTACATACAACATATAATGTGTTAAGGCATTCATAAGCATGCTTCATTTAAAAGACATAGTAAATTTCTATATATACACCATTAAGGATAAACAAAAATGTTTGTGCGTTTAGGATTTCCTCCTTTAGAAAAGGGTATAGTTGGGTATATAACCTTGAGTATATGAGGATCACCTGCAATTTTTTTCAAGATATACTACCATCATTGCACATCAAAACTTTGGGGTAGGTTGAGAATAGGCATTTTTGGGGTAAAAAATAGGGTAGGTCAGGCAACCCTAAAAACATTTTTTTTCTTTTTTTGGCCTAATGTAAACATAGATCTACGCTTCCTACATAAAGTTGTATTGCGGTTAAGCATGTGAATACTTTGTTAATATTTTGTTTTGTTTTGTTGAAAAGAAACACGAATGTATATATATCATCATTTATTTGGTAGTCTATGTGAATAGAAATTCGTTTCAATTACTCAAATTTAGTATTGTGCATTCAATTATAATACATTACACCAGGAGATCTTTTTCATACAAGCTTCAATTTACATAACAATTGTTATTTGTTAGATTAAAATTTTCCATATGTCCCGAGAACAACAGCAAGGCATTCATATCGATCTGTCTGTCAAAATCAATAGAACAATAAAATATTTCATCGACGATTTTTTTAAAATCAAACAAACATAATGAAGACACAGCCGCTTGCAGATGGATATTAGTGTTAACACATTGTATGGATTATTAGACCTTGTCTCATCAGAATTCTTAGATAAATACATTTTGTCTATACAAAAAGTATTCCTATTTTGTGCAATATCGATTCGAAATATCGTTTAGAACTCTTAATAGTTGAATGTTTGAAGGACACATTTTGAATTAATTCTAACGGCTGAACATTTTTTTTTCAAATTTATATATGTGATGATTTTTCCATTCATTCAAAGTAGTATTCGAGGACAAGCTCTTATCCACACCTTTTTATACATGTATACAAGACTAGCATATAACGTACCTGTCAGTGTATGTACTTCATCCATTCTATTGAAATTGTTTTCTTTTTTGTACAAAATGTTGTTTGTTTTGTTCGCTGTTTGTTTATTATTGTAACGTTGAAGTCTTTATATATAAGTGTGTCCACGACTGCGCATGCCAATTTACAATGTATCATCATCATGGTTTGTTATCATTCTTTGTATTGACACACATTACTTTCTAGAAGTACAATGTATTATTAAAACGCCATTGACGAATTTGTATCATTCTGTCGTTGTAAAAACAAGTGATGTGCATATTAGAGAGACTTATCCATGTGGCGCAAGAACTGCTTGTCCGTTCGGAGCACAACCAAAAATTAATCAATCCTTTCGGATCACATGAGTTGATGCAATTTTTTATGAGGACCTGTTGCTTTATTTAATCCAAGTTCGATGTCAAAATCTGGTTGTTTTATATGCATTGTATTTTCTTGACATTTTGGAAATCTCTTAAAATTTGATAGGATTTTGGCCCTTTCCATGAGATTGTTTTAGTTTCCTTATCATTTAACTTGTTTAATTTCTGCCAATTCCTTCACTTCATACCTCGCCACCGATAGTAGAGGGCATTATGTTTTCTGGTCTATGCGTCCGTCTGTTCCGTCCCGGGTTGAGTTTTTAGTTAAAGTAGTTAACCATGAAGCTGTGGTCACATCAACCTTAACTTTGGTCATTACGATATATATAAGATGTGGTATGAGTGCCAATGAGACAACTCTCCATCTACATGTTTACTTTTTAAAGTTTACGTTTATGCCAATTTAAAGTTTTGACCCCGAATTCATGGCATTGAACATAGAAATGTGATAGTGTGAAATCAGAAATTCTCAGATTAAAGGTAGTTTCCCATGACGTTGTGGTCACACTAACTTGAAGCTTAGTATACATGTTAATTATGAATTGAGCTTTTAAAATTATATGCAAAATTATACGGTTTTGGCCCCAGTCTCACGGTTCACTGAACATAGAAAAATAGTGAGAATGGAGCATGGTGTCCTATAGACCCATATTCTTGTTCTACTATCAATTGAAAGATAATAACGAATGAGTGCTCAACGTCCAGCACAATTTACAGCATGTAATAGAGATACACGTTTAGCCGGTTTTTTTTTTTAACTTACGGTAAGAGTCGACAGAAAGACATTTAGGATACATTAATATTCTGACTTAATTAAGCCGACACGTCCTTCCTTAAAAATGTTCCGTGATTAGTACAGAAGGATAATAATCCATATTTTAAAACTATTGGGTTCACAAAGCAGAGGATCGGATCGGCTACCTCCAGCACTCAAGTTGACCATTCTATCATGAGAACATCCGATCACTGATCTTATTGCTTCTTCATAGATCCAATGTCAAATATACTTTTTTAACTTTACAAACATAATATAGGCATACCCAAGTCAATGAAGTCAGGGCTGCTTCATTGTACGTTCACCTTTGAACCGTTCTTCATTATATTA